CTGGGCGGCAGAGGCACCAGCTGAGGGAGGCGGGAGGGAGCCGGGACTTCCGCGCCCCTTAGCCCCCGGGCGGGGGAGGGGCCGGAGCGGTGGCCCACCTGTCCCAGAAGCGATGTTTTTGTGATGTGGTCGGCCTGCTGGCAAAACCTTTCATCCGCCATATTGGCGAAAGTGAAGAAGACTGGTGATGCGCAGTGTTGGGGAAGATGCGGGGAAATGGGCACTTTTGTCGCGACTGATGGGAGGAAATCCATCTAGCAGTTTCAGAGGGTCAGGAAATGATTGCCAACATTTAAAAGATGTGTGTCCTTTAACCCATCAACGTCCTTGGTAGCTTCCTACAGAAATGATTGCCCTGTGCTCCAGGCAGCAGGTCCAAAGGTGTGGGTACCCAAGCATTTCAGCTCCCAATCCATCACAGCCCCCAGGAGGAGTGGCCACACGCAACCTGCCCATCCCCCCATGGCAGGACGACTGAGAGGAGGTCACAGTGACTGGTAGGGTCCCAGAGACATGGTGCGGGGGGAGGACCAGGCTGCCAGTGGGTTCACGAAGCCGGAGGACACCTGTCACGTTCACAACCCCCATCACACAGCCCTGCACACTCTTCTTTCTGTCCGGACATGTGCGGAGGGGCCTGGCTCCCCCAGACTGCTGAAGTGAGAGGGCCTGGGGCTCTGAGGGTGTCACGCTTATTTGATTTTTTTTTAATCCTCACCCAAGGATATTTTTCCATTGATTTTTAGAGAGAGTGGAAGAGAGAGGGAAAGGCAGAGAAAATATCGATGTGAGAGAAACATCGATTGGTTGTCTCCTGCATACGCTGGGACCAGGCCTCAGGCCTGGGAGGAGCCTGCAAGCAAGGTATGTGCCCTTGACTGGAATTGAACCCGGACCCTTCGGTCAGCTGGATAGGCCAACACTCTATCCACTGAGCCACACCAGCTAGGGCTTGTTTGATTTTTAATGTCAAGAGTGATAGCATTTGAGCCACACCAGCTAGGGCTTGTTTGATTTTTTAATGTCAAGAGTGACAGCATCGCCATAACCGGTTTGGCTCAGTGGATAGAGCATCAGCCTTCGGACTGAAAGGTCCCAGGTTCGATTCTAGTCAAGGGCATGTACCTTGGTTTCGGGCACATCACCAGTGGGGGGTGTGCAGGAGGCAGCTGATCAATGTTTCTCTCTCATCGATGTTTCTAGCTTTCTGTCCCTCTCCCTTCCTCTCTGTAAAAAATCAATAAAATATATTTTTTAAAAAAAGAGTGATAGCATAAAGCCTTTGACAGCTAAAAAAACAACAACAACAACAAAACACCAACAAGCGCTCTAGTTTGTCATAAGAAATATGGTGAGGTCTCCCCTGAAGTGAGGCACGCTCCACTTGCTTGGTGATGTGCACCAACCCGCACAAGTTTACAGGTTGGAAATACAGACCTTTTCCTGTGCCATCTCCTATTGTGACCTGCCACTGCTCGTCCATATACAGGGGTCCAGATGCAACCGGCCACATCTCAGGCCTTTCCTACCCCCCCCAGGTCCCCCTCTGGGAAGCCACCCCTTGGACCTGCTGCCGGCTGCCTCCCCAGACCAGGGTGGGGCTCTCACCTGGGAGGTCAAGGGCCACGGCCCGGTAGCCCCTGTGTGCCAGCAGCTGCAGCGTGCCCAGCTGCTCCCACGTGCGCGAGGTGAAGGCTTTCCCGTGGAGCAGCACCACCTCCACCCTGCGGGCACATGGGGGGTGGTCTGAGGCTTTGGCAGGGCCCCACTTTCTTCCTAGGCTTCTCCCACTGCCCTCCCAGCCCTTAGTACCCCGCATGGAGCTGGGGTCCCACACAGGGGCTCATCCTTCTACTAGACCCTGGGGTCAGCACCCACCTTCGTGCCCGGTGGAGTGGGAGCACCTCGCGGTAAAAGATGGGGGAGTTGCCAGGGGTGAGACCGGCCAGGATTGTGACATTGGGGTCTCCCCAGAGCCAGGAAGTGTGCTCAGGGGGGCCTGGCAGCCCCACGTACAGCAGCAGCATGAGCAGCAGGCCCAGGCCCAGCAGGGCTGTGTGGGACCGGCTCATGGAGGTTTGTACCACAGTCTGGAGGAGGAGGAGAGGAGAGGAGGCTGAGGCCCCACTTGGCCCCCGGACCCCATCCCGGGACCCCATCCCGAAGCCCCACCCAGAAGCGCCCAGCTGAGGAAAAGCTCAGCCTTGCGGGTGGCACAGTGGTGAGGCCCCAAAGGGGAAAGGCTGTGTAGAGAGGTCCCGCTCAGGGCATGTGTAGACCAATGCTAAACTCAGAATGTGCTTGACAGTGGGTGGGAATATACTAGTAACCCCAGCCCAGCTGGTTTAAATGGGAAGAGGGAGCAGGGAGAATCCAGGGAGGAGGAGAAGCTGAGGCATGGGGCGGGGGGACAGGCAGGAGAATGGCACTGAAATGGAAAGGGCAGCATGGAGGCTGGAGCGATGAATGCCACCCCCTCCCCCAGCTTCATGCCAAGCGACTTGCTTCATGGACTCCTCCGGCCAGGTCCTTTGCCAGCCCAGAGGACAGACCTCAGGGCCAGGACCCAGACAGAGCAGTCAGCCGAGTCTCCAGTGTGTCAGTAAAAGAGGGAGGGTAGTCCCGCGCTGTCCCCAAGCCGCCTCAGGTGAGATTTCACTGACACAGAGGACTCCACTGGGGTTGGCCCCTTGGGCCTAGGAGGAGCCCCTGCTTGTTCCCAGATCCCAGTAAACATCTTTATTGAGAGTCTCCAGCCCCACCCGCCTCTCCTGGGATGTTGCCTCAGCCCCACTCCCAGGCCCCCAGGTCAGGGGGCGACCCAGGGGCTGACAGGAGGCCGTGGTTGGCTTAGGTTCCCACAGACAGGGCTTCCATGCGGCCCCTCCTTGCGGTGGAGACTGGGCCACAGGGGCGGCTCCAGGTAGGAGAATTCTGCCGTTGCCTTGGCAACCCGGAGGCTGGAGCACTAGGCAACCTTACCTGGCAGGTAGCAGGCAACCTGATCTAGCGACTGCAGATACAGGGCCTGGGCTAAGGGTGGAGACGTGCCCACGGAGGCCTTGGCATACGCACAGACGATGACACACAGGTGTACATGCGTGTCCACATGAAAGACACCCTCAAAACCATGCCCAGCATCAGGCACCAGGAAGGCAGACGGACGGACAGACAGACACACACGGTTTCAAAACCACACGCAGTTCCTCAAATGTCAAGAACACCGTCATACACCGAGCCCTCAAACTACACATGCACAGACGGACACACAGACACAGAAATACACACACAGACACACAGCTAGTACACACCCTCAAAATCACACGCTGAAATATACACAGGACACACCCAGACAACAAGCGGGCAGACAGACTGACACCTTCCAACACGGGCAGACAGAGCCACTGACATACACCCCACGACACACGTACACCAGACCCTCAGGAACACACGCAGACGAACGCGCGCGCACTCGCGGCCCCAGCGCCGGCCCCTCCCTCCCGCTGGACTCTG